TATGTGGTCATATGAAAGATATATCATGGTGTAAATGTGCTCTGTGGTGTCTAGGGAGGACTGCATAAGTTTGAATTCCACTGAACTAACAACACTGGTAGTGGGGCCACTGATTTAGTTCTACACCAAGTGCAGTGGATGGTCATATGAACTGGTGCTGTGACCCAGTTCTGTAAGAAAAGGAAAGAGAACTTGCATTTGCATGTATCTCTTTTTTTTTTTTTGTAAGATAAGGATGAGAAAAAAATTCTTATAATGTGACTCAAATTGAATTTTCATGTAACTCTTTTCTTATTAAACACAGGCATGGGAAAATTCTTATAAAAAGATAATGTGACTCAGAGTGTCACAATCTACTTAAATTTTTTGAGGAAATAAAGTTTTCCTCTCATTCTAAGTTTGGACTGATATTGCTTTAGCCTAATACATGAGAACTAAAGGGGAAAAATAAAGAAATGAAACAGTTTAAGCAAGTTATAAACTGAACTAGAAACTTTTAATACCTTAAAAAATTTAAAAAGGCATCTATGTTTCATGTCCCTGTCCACGGCCCCCCCCCAAGGAATCTGTGTTAAGTGTTGTAGTAATGGTATTTATTATAGTAAGATGACTTAAAGTCACATTAGGGTTAGAAGTTTATTTTGCAACATAGAGCCAGACACAAGCTTCACATTCTCCAAAAGGATACCATAAGTGTGGTGCTTTGACCATATTAGTTGACTGTTTAAATTCCCTACAAATGTTGCAGATACTTTCAGTGGCAGTGATTATTTTCATTAACTAGGTCTATACTTATCACAAAGAAAAAACCAGTTTGGTAAAAATGATACGAGGTTTGCCAGATTATTCTGAAAAAATCTGGATATTTCTTTTTTAAAATCACAGACAGAGCATGGACTTTTACATGATGAAGACATAAAAAGCTGTCCATACCCACTGTGTACAATTTGATGAGTTTAGGGATAAGTGCATACCAGCAAAAGCATCACTGTCATCAAACGCATAAAGGTTCACGTTCTGCCAGAATTTCCTCCTTCCCCCCTTTATGTTATTTTTAAAGAGCTGGGGGTTTAAGTGGATAAAGAGAAAATCGGGCTGGGGTTATAGCTCAGTGGTACAAACATGTGCCTACCATGTACAACCTCTCCTCCCCAATTCACCAGATAGTTCATTGGTTCCATTTAATTGAGACATATAAGATTGTTTTGGAGGATGGCAGAGAATACCAACTTTTAAACATATACACATTCTTTTATTATTTTGCCTTTGTTGACATTTAAATTATCAAGATGGATGAAAGTGTAGATTATAGGGGCTTCCTGCACATCTGGAGAGTGATTTGGACCAATGTAAACACAGCTGTGCCACCTTGCCCTAAATTATTACCTGCTGAGTCCACGTGAGGAGTGGCTGTGGCACCATATTGGGGATGTGAAATATTGGCTGTCAGTGGCCTGCCTTGAGTTGAACAGCTGCCCTCTTCCTCATGAGCAACAGATATGTTTTCAGGCCTCCAAATATTTGCAAGAGTTTTGCATGATTTGGAGTGGAATGGAAAATTAACCTTTTTCTCTAACAGGAAAAAAAGATTGGAAACTTTAGAACAGAAGAGGTTAACTTAGATTGTGTCCTTAACAAGGAGGAGAAAATATGTAGTTTAAATACACCTAGTTATATATTCTTTTAATTGTTCTAGTGGCCTGGATTAGTCTTGAGAAAACAGTAGTTACGGGTCGTATAGTTCACAAACATGAGAGCTGGTAATTTTTGAGATAAACCAGAATTCTACACTGAAGTGCATTGGTGAGGAAGATGTGACTCTTAGTGCCTCATGTGTGTGTGTGTGAGTGTGTGTGTGTGAGTGTGTGTGTGTGTGAGAGAGAGAGAGAGAGAGAGAGAGAGATTTCTATTCACAAGCAGCAGCCACAGGAAAGTGTAAGCTACAATCCTTGTGGCAAGTCGACTTGGCTAGTAGAAGATGTGGGTGGGGGTGTGGTATGTGTCCTCAGGTGGTGGGTGCGTTGTTTCCTTAAATGGTGAAGGCACAGGTTTCTGGAGAAGAGATAACATCACAATCCTAAGAGACCAGCACAACTCTGAAGAGCCCAGGATGTACTAGGAGTGTAGTTTTTGTGGGGATCAAGGATAGAACTCAACTGGGTTCTCAGTCTTTCTAAGCCTGCTTGTCTCAGCCCGTGAATGCACACTGACAAAAGTGCTCTTTGTCCCTCCCCAGCATGCGGAGAAAGCTTGAGATGCGCAAGTGACCAGAATGGCGAGGACTGTGTCTTTGAATTGTGAACAGACTTCCTTAGGTTATAAAAGGCTAATGCCCTGATGTCAAAATTGCCCAGTTCCCCTTGGCCTAGGAGTAGCACAGTTCTTCCTGGAGTGACCCAAGCATTGAGACCAGCGCAATGGCTTCTGAGGGGATGTTCTAGCCAGGGCAGTTATCTGGTGGTTAGAACAGATGCCCCCACAGGAGCTCCTCTTCTGCCCTTTTCTCTCCTAGTTTCTTGCAGTAATTTCCCTCTGTTCTCCTGAGGTGTTATGTGCGCTGAGATGAGAGGTGAGTAGGGACGAGGGCCTATTCAGGCCTCCTTTTGCTGCTAGAGCTGCTGCCTGCTGCTCCCTGCCTCCTCTCTGGTCCTCCCAGTACCTAGGGCTCAGCTATTTTGCCTGCCTGCCTCCCTCCCTGCCTCCCTCCTTCCCTCCTTCCCTCCTTCCCTCCTTCCTTCCTTCCCTCTCTCCTCTCCCTTCCTTTCTTTTTTGTGGTACTAGGGATTGAACCCAAGACCTTCACACTCAGCTACATCCCCAGTTCTTTTTAAATTTTGAGACAGGGTCTCGCTAAGTTGCCCAGGCTGGGCTTGAACTTGCAGTCCTCCTGCTTCAGCCTCTTGGAGTGCTGAGATTGCAGGGGTGTGCTACCCTGCACAGCTTCAGCTTTCTTTCTTGACCCTGCTGGAACTGGGAACCAGAAGTGAAGGGGACTGAAAGCTGGTCTGGTATATTAGGGGTTTATCTCGAAGAGTGTGTGATGAGTTTGCTTAGAAGGCTTTCAGTGGAGGGAGACCTGGCCAGATCTCTTAGCAAGGTTATGTTGGTGGCTTGGTCAAGGGCAGATTAGGCAAGGTGGAGGAGACAAGAGGCAGTTGTAGGTGTCGGTGTTGTGGCCCATGGTCATGTGTTGTTGAGTTGAAATGAGCGCAGTCCCTAGGATCACAATATGTTTTATCATGCGGTACTTTAGGACCCTCACCTTGAGATATTCTGGCCCAGTTCCTTCTTCCTTGAAAGAGACTATTTGCCAGAAGTTTTCTGCATTGGGGTAGGAAAGGAAAGGAAGGGCCGGTGGGCTAAGCGCCTCTGTCCTCATCTTTCAGGGGAGGATGGGCTCCCACCTCGTCAGCTATGTGCAGCCTGGGGTCTCAGACCAACTGTAGAGAAAATAGTCTCTCGCCCAGACATGCTCAAATGTTCAAAGATCTTAATGGCCTTGTACAAGTCCTTCATTTCCCTGGCTCTGTGCTGGGAACTCTGAGGAACAAACCTTAAATGCAGAACATGTTAATGGTGGGAAAGGAAGAAGCGGTTTCTAAAAAACTGTTTCTTTCAATTTCTGTTTCTCCTCTCCCTTAGTTCCTAAAATCAGGGAATGCAGAAGTGGGGTCAGACAGTTGCTTGCTGTGACTGAGGCTTCTTGGTCAGGGCTGGGGTTTTGACAAATCGAATCCCAAGCCCCACTTGCAACTAAAGCTGTCCTTCCATGTTAGACCTGTAGCTATGGGAGAAGCACAGACATTAATAAGTGAAAACACCGGCGAGCAGTCCAGCGTGGAAAATGTGGGTGCACGTTGTAGATCCTCAAGAACTTGTATTTTCCTTGTTGTCTTGAAAGTTTATGTCCCTTGGTCATCTTGTTCAAGTCACTTATTCATATCAAAGGGAGATCTTGTTGGAAGGTAACAGAGGAGAGGAGGTGCGTTTTTAAATGGAGGAAGTGATAGAAGAAACAGCTTAACTCACAAATGTTACCTTCTGTGTGTGTGCACCCAGGTGTATTGGGGAATCCACTCCCTCAAGGAAAAGTAGGGTACAAAGCATTCTTCAGATGAATGTATTCAGCCAGAGAAGGCTTGAGAACTTCCGGCTGCCAGTCTGCTCCTTCTTGATCACTGCTGTTACTCTGGCTGACAGGTTGAGAAATGAGCCTGGGGCCACTTACCTTTGTGAGACCTCAGAGCTGGGTGTAAAGTCACTGTGCACTGAGGGACAACCTCCTGGGCAAGAGACAAGTGACATTGTTTATTTAGGTAAATTTATATCCACCTGTACTTGGAATGTGTAATAATCCTAATGAATAATGGGAATATTAATGGCCACAAGAATGAATGGGCATAGGAATGAACACTGATGACTGATGAATAAGGGTTTCCACTTTTCTGAGGGTCTCCTGGGAGGGTAAGAAGTGTGGTCCAGAAGCATTGTTAGCCATGGTATCCTGAGTTCTCAGGATCCACCTGTGCCTGTCTCTGTAATCTTCCTGAAAGGAGACCTGCGATGTAGCCATGGCCAGACTTGGGTTCCAGGGTGCCTGGGACTCAGGGTGTCTTTGCAGGAGGCACTTTCCTCGCCTCTCCTCCCTCTGTCCTGATGGGCGGGCAGGTGTGGGCTGGTGGCCATGGCTTTGGCATCAGGCAGGTCTCCTGGCTTCCTTGCTTGTTATCTTTGGCCTCTGACAACAGTCACTCACCTTTACTGAGCTTCTGTTTGTCCATCAGTACAGTGAGAAAAAGAACAAGTCCTGTCTCAGGACTGTCCAGGGATTGGGTCTCACAGGTCAGAAAGCCTGGCCCTTGGCCACAGGGTAGTAAATACCCATTATTACTGCAAATGCTGCAGAGAGGGTGATCAGATGGCCTGGGGCTTTTCCAAGGTGGACTGACCTGACTGCCTTTATTTTCTCCTCTTTCTCCTTCCCCACCCTCTTCCCCCAGGACGGTTCCCTGGGAAACATTGATGACCTGGCACAGCAATATGCAGATTATTACAATACCTGCTTCTCAGACGTGTGCGAGAGGATGGAGGAGCTGCGGAAACGGCGGGTTTCCCAGGACCTGGATGTGGTGAGTGATGGCATGCACTGGGTATATGCTGTGTTCCTTCCTATTTCTGCTTTGGCCCAGCAGCTCCCAGTCTTTCTTACAGCCCCACAGTGCCCAGAGCTTCAGTCTGTACTTGTGGGTGGTAAAAACATAAGATCTCAAAAAGGTCATAGCAGTTATTTAGTAGACTGCCTGTTGGCTGGATAATATGACCAAATCTTTGCAGTAACTAAGATACTAAATTTTTCTTTTTTGGTACTGGGGATTGAACTCAGGACCTTGCTCTTTGTAGGCAGGTGGTGGAACCACTGAGCTAAATCCTGGGCCCAACTGAGACTCGGTTTTTATTTATTTAATCTTTAACTTAAGGAGAAAGGATGTTTTTACTGTTGACTGGTAAGCTCAAAGGGTGTTTTATCCCATTTTTCTTTTCTTCTCTTTCCTTTTTATTTTTGAAAGACAAAAGAAAATTTACAGAAGCAAAAAGTCACCCATAATGTCTCACCTAGCAATAAACATGGGAATATGTTGGAGGTCTTCTTTCAGCATTTTTCTGGATGTTTAAAAATTTGCAATACAGGGCTGGGGATTTAGTTTAGTGTTGCCACCGCCTGCCTCGAAAGTGCAAGGTCCTGAGTTCAATATCCGGTACCAAAAAAAAAATTTCAATACAGAGCCAGGGAATTAGCTCAGTGGCACCACACTTGCCTTGCAAGCACAAGGTCCTGAGTTCCATCCCCCATACCCCGCCCCCCCCAAATTTGCAATACAGGTTTCTTGATTATGTTAAAAACTTGTATCTTGGTTTTTATGAAACACTTTGTTATTACTTTGTTATAGTTCATCTCCCGGGGTATTGAAATCTCTTTGCAGTCACCAACTTTTATGACCCTGTGCTCCCCTCTCAGGGACATTCAGAAGAATTTGGCTGCTTTGTAAAGATCTTTGCGGGTATAACTAGGGGGACATTTGGTTTTGTGTGAGGTACATAATAAACAGCACAGATGTTCTGTATACAGTCCATACATATGCTGGTAGTTCCATGGTGTAGAATGTCTTACTGAAATTTGACATTTATCACTTTAAATTTGCTACCCACTAGATTCACCTTAGTCCTATGGTGCTTGAATCCAGAACCTCACTGTCTTAATTAATTTTCTTATTGCTGATACAGAATACCTGACACCCAAAGTTAAAGGAGGAAAGGTTTATTTAGCTCACAGTTTGTGTATTTCAGTCTATAATTGGCTGACTGCAGGGGAGGGTGGCTGGCAGACAAGCATTGCAGAGGAGAAACAGTTCATGGAGAGCAGCAAAGCAATCATTTCATGACAAGTCAGCAAAGTAATCGAGACAACCAGGCCGGGGATTTAGCTCAGTGGTTCTGTTGCCTGCCTCGCAAGCGCAAGGACCTGAGTTTGATCCCCAGTGCCAAAAAAAAAAAAGAGAGAGACGACCACGCCCTTTTCTGTCCCTTGTATTTTACCCAGGCTATCCGCCCTTATACCCTTCATCCTAGTGCCTCGGAGCCTAGCATTGCACCATGAATCAATCCCAGTGTCACACACTGTAGATCCAGTCACCTCTGAAAAAGTCCCACCTGTGATCACATGGGGTTTTGGGGGGACATCTAGACACAAGCCATAACACTCACACATACTAGGCAACTGCTCTACCATTGAACTATATCCCCAACCATTTTAAATTTTAATTTGAGACATGGTCTCACTAAGTTGTCCAGGCCAGCCTTGTATTTGTGATCCTCCTGCTTTAGCCTCTTGAGTAGCTGGGATTATAAACTGGGACTACAGTCATGAGGCACCAGGGTTGGCAGTTCCATGCTTTTCAAATTGTGTTGTTATGTGTGCTGACCTCCAACCCTCCTCCTGAGAGGGGAAAGTGGAAGAAAAGTCCCTGCCCTCCGTATCTCACCCGGAGAGCTCCTTTTGGGACCCTCTCCTATGATGGGGGCTACATGGACTTGTTTACAGCACCCCTTTGCCTTTGAAAAGCTCTGATTCAATTGAAACCTTACTTATCCAAAAGTTTTCTATAAATCTACTTAGGGTGGGAACAGAGAATTGGGTAACTAATTTAGAATTAATTAAAAACATAATTTTTTGTGTAATACAAATATTCTGTTTTAGAAGAGACACAAGTGCTTGGGCACTGATGCATATTCTGTGAGTGAACACAGTCTATTTCCACTTAAGTGTGCACTTAAAAGTTCTTCTTTGCATTAATTTCTTTCCTCAGCTCAACCTAAGGAAAGATCCCTGGGTCGGAAAGTGACATTATGACTGCCAAGTAGTAATTTATGCTCTTTTTTTCTTGTTCACTGATTTGTTAGTCTGCAGGGATTGGCATTAGTTTAATCGAGTTGGTTGAGGGTAAGAAGTGTCACTTGGGGACAGAAAGCCGTGGTCCCAGACTTTGGCTCAGGCAGGCACATGGGCATCATCGTTGCCAGGGGATGTTTTCCCCCGACGTTGTCCTCTGGTGTGTGTAAATGGCGGGGGCATATATTTCTAGGAAAATAACTTCCAGAGTCCAAAGACTCCCATGCTTTGCTAAAATAAATACGATCTCCTATTGGGGTATAGTTAATGAAAAAATACTCTCATTTTCATTTTCACAGTACTGCCACAGAACAACAATTGAACCACTGCACTTTAGTTTTACTTTATTTGCTTTTTTTTTTTTATCATGCTGGGGATTCAACCCAGGGCTGTTTACGTGGTAGGCATGGGCTGCGGGAGCCCTTCATTTTGGAATGTTGCCATTTTGACCTGGAATATTAGTCCTATATAGTCTTCCTGGACATTTCATGGTACACAGAAATGATGGCTATGAATTTATGCAACACTAAACTGCTCTTTGCAGTCTTCTAGCTAGTCTAAGAGTTGGGGCTGCCAGAATCATCCCTATGGTGTTCAGGAACCTTGGAAGGCTGCTTCTTGGTAGGAAAGGAAGCCTGCCTGTCGATTCGATAAATATCCTTCTTCCCGTTTAGACAGATGGAACTAATTTGGTGTACTCTATTTCAGAGCAGCAAAAGACAGTCTGGGGAAAAAAGAAACACCACATGAGTTTAATTAGTTGCCATCAAAGGTGTAAGAACTTGGTGCTGGGTAAAATTGAGGGGATCTAATTCAAGCCAGGCTAGAAGCATGACTGTTCATTCTTTAAACTGCAGACAGCGAGAAGAGTAAGATCCTAAATTGGCACATTCAAATCTACGAAATTCCAGGCAAGCCATAGCAGTAAAGGGGAGTTTTCTCCCTGGTGCTGGGGATTAAACCCAGGGCCTTCACACTGAGCTACATGCCCAGCCCTTTTTAAGATTTTTAAAAATTTTGAGACAGGGTCATGCTAAATTGCCTGGGTTGGACTTGAACTTGGAGTCCTCTTGCTTCAGCTTCCCACAGTACTGGGATTACAGGCGTGTGCCACTGCGAGCTGGCTATAAAAGGGTATTTGTACACTACTGAACACCAGGTAAGAAGTTGGATGTTTCATGTGTCAGCCACGTGCCTCAGTAGTCTGGAAGTCCATGTTAAACAGATTTTAAGATTATCCATCATTTAGGCCACTTACTTACTCAGTGTTCCCTTTCTCAGCAGTAGCTCATCATACATTTGACTCCTGATGGCAACTCATTTCCTTGCAAAGCTGTAACTTTTAGTCTATAACTTAACACTCCCTCTTATTGCATCTGAATTTTAAGTATATTTATAGTCTTTGAATTCTGCCTTTGGACAAGTAGAAAAACTGCCTCCTTGCTTGCCTGGTAGAACAACCTTGAGTCTGAAGAAATGAAGATTAATATTCTTTCTGTGTTCATAAGCAACTCTGGCAAAGCTAAGTACAAGATAGCTTTAAAAAGGAATAATCTATTAAAAGCAATAAGAGAAAGTCATAAGTTATTAAGAGCCTAAAACAGTTAATAGTAAAAAAGTAGCATAATGTATATTGTGTTTTTGAAAAAGTAATTTCGAAAACAGACCTGAGTTTGGTGAGTTGAATCAGTTTATGATAGGTGAAGGCTGGTCATGTAGCTTGGTGGTAGATTGCTAAATTTCTGGGTGAATTCCAGGGCTTGAATATTTTGTAAGCAGAATAAATATTTAAATTTTATATTTGACTTTAAAAAGAAAAATAAAAAAGAAATACCTTGCCCTTATGAGCTAAGTATATGTAAACTGGAGAACAACCCAAAAAGACATCCTTCCCACAGAGATGCTTGACTTAAGGCTGAAAAATAAAAGTTTTGGATAATTATGTTAGTAATTAACTTTATGTCAAGCTATTTCTTTAAGATCTAATCACCTGGATCCTGACTGGAATAAAATGTTCACGAATGTGTCCTTGGGGCCAGTTTTGATGAAGGCGACAGGGAGTACAGATGTGTAAAGACTCAACAGTATGAACAGGGATTCTGAGTCAAATTTGTAACTATGAGGAGAGTTTTTAGTTAGCACCAAATGTGCCCTGAAGGAATGATGTGTTTGGATGGCGGACTCAGCCTCTGCTGGAGATTTGGGACATTAGTGCTTGTGACCATTAGGGACTTTGCCCAGATTTCCTCACATTTGGCACCTGCTAGAGTACCATGTGTGAGTTTGGCTGGAAGAAGCTGCCATCTGAAATGACAGTCACCTTCCAAGTCCAAATGGACCCATCCCTAGTGATGGTAAGTCTGACAGTCTGTCAAAGTGACACCCCAGCCAGGAAAAGGGACACCTCCAAGGTGGCCTCTTATTGCTGGCAGTATTAACTTCCTCAGCATCTTTGGGGTCGAATCTGTTTGGATGTTGGCAGAAAACAAGTTTATGTGTCACAGAGTGGATGGAAGAGCCCTCATCTGCAGCAGCATGCCATGGATGATGACATATTTGTCAGCAGCCGAAGCCTGGCCTGGACCCTGTGCCAGTTCATTATCATGATTGTGTATTTGAAAGAAGAGGGAGCCCAAGAAGAGACCCACCCAGATCTTTAGGGACTGGACTTATAAATAAAAG